CAATTTCAATGAACAAGAACGAATGGTATCCTTGGTGAGAATGCACAACAGTAGATGCTCAAGCTTAGAGAGTCGCTACAAACAATAGGTGAGCGCGTGCGCTAGGACAGTGTGGTGAGATCAGGGATGATTGTCCTTATTATACCTCATTCACTTCTTTCTTACAATGGCCCAACAGCATAAACTAATAAGCATCGCCGCTATGTTACAGAGCATGGTGAATGAGGAGTACCGCAAGTACATGTCGATGAACAACGAGAACGACATAATCGGCCACTTCACCATCCAGGGCCCGCAGCCGTTCTTCGTGTGCCTCCTGTGGCAGATGCTGCTCGAGACCAACCGCATCACTAGCATCGCTTACAAGTCAGTAATCTGTGGGGGTACAGCTCTGCTGCGGACACAGTAATGCCTGTTCTACAAATCACTATTGCAGGCCTCTTCTCGTAAACGGTTTGGCTGACTTACGTCCAAATAATTGATCTTCTTTCCAGCTCTCCCGACCTAAATTGACACCCAGCAGTACAAACTTTAAGTTTCAAGACCGATGACTGAAAGCTTATTTCCACCTTCCATTTATTCTGCATCGCCAAGCCTGCATTGGTGCCGTGTCTGATTATACGCGGCAGACACGGTTCCGAGCTGCGTGTCTGCTGTGTACGTCCTCATTCTCTATTGTCTGTGTTCCCTCCTATCGTCAGGGTTCTGGAGCGCGGCGGTCCCAAGGCTCTCACCGTACACATCCGCACGTTCTGCGACTACCTGATCCACGTGCTCAGCACCTCCACTGACGGCGCCTTCTTCAAGAAGTGCGTGGACGGCGTACACAAGCTGGTCTGGACGTACAACATCGTTCCCATCGACCGGCTCATCCTCTGTCTGGTAAGTGAAGGGCTGGAATTTTCGAAGAAGTTGCAATTAGAATGCGCTGCGCTATAACGTCCTCTCCCAGACTTGAATCAATACATCCCTTGCGGCTGTATACCGTACGCACTGCCGTTTTCCGAGCAGGGTTGTGCTCGACTCAAAAAAATTTGCTGACTCGACTCATCATTCAACTTCAGAAATCCCTGACTCAACTCTGACTCAAACAAGGAGCTGATTTTTTCCCTTGACTCGACTCATGACTCAAGCGGCTCAATGAAAATATGAGTCGACTCAAACTTGACTCAAACTTTTTGTTCAGTCAAGTGAGTTGACTCAAAATTGACTCAGATAAAAAAGTTGTTGAGCGGGGGGGGGGGGTGGAAAAAATCTGACAGCAGGGCCAGGGCTAAGTTGTTAAGCGGGGGGGGGGGGTGGTGAATGCTTATATTATATTATATATATAGTTTCTAGAAAGTTGAGTCAGCTGACTCATGTTCCTAAATGTTTGACTCAACTCTGACTCAACTCAACGCCTTAATATTTTTGTCCGACTCAACTCTGACTCAACTCAACAGCTCAACATTTTATCCGACTCGACTCAAATCTGACTCATTTGAGTCAGAGTTGAGTCAAATTTCTGACTCGACTCATGAGTCAAGCACAACCCTGTTTCCGAGACGCCAAGGGTTTGTCGTCTGTCATGTCTGGTGCTGTGAAGTTAAGGAGTGGGACCATTGCAGGCAGCCGGCAGTGTCGTTATGCTTATATGTACGCTGTATCGCTTTATCGTCATGAGTGCGACAATCCGTAATTGCCCTCTGATGATGTGTACGACGTACCAACTACCATGTTCTTACTGTGCTCTCCCTTTTCCCCTGAACGATAGGTACTCCGCCCGAACGAGGCGAACGAGCTGCGGCTGTGCTCGATCCTCATCCAGCGGCTCATGCTGACGCCACCCTCGGAGTTCATCGAGCGAGTGCGCAAGTTTGTCGCCGAGAACGACCCGCGCTACTGGGAACAGGACAACTGGTGAGTCGTTTGCGACCGAAGGACAAGATTCCCCTGTTATGCTGGGATAACGTATATGTTGAGAATTGAGTATCTTCTATTGGTCTCGTCTTCCCTCAGTTCGATACTGAAATGTGACTCCCGTCCATTCTCGAAAGCTAAACCGTTTCCAGCTCATATTTCGCTTTTCCCCGGGCTTTAGTAGCATCTCACTGTCGTGATAAAACGCTACAATGATTTTGCCCCGTCGGCAGGCACGAGAAGCACCTGGCGTTCCACTCGGCGTTCCCGGAGCGATTCGCGCCCGACGACGTGCTGGCCGAGCAGCAGGGCAAGAGCGCGCAGACCTACCAGAGCCTGCCGGTCTACTTCAGCAACGTGTGCCTGCGCTTCCTGCCCGTGTTCGATCTGATGATCCAGCGCTTCCTCGAGTGCCCGCACATGCTCGGCGACTCGATCGGACTCATCCTGGACCAGATGGGCAGCCTCTACAAGTTCCACGGTGAGCGGGCGGGCTTGATTTCTTAACAGCCGCGAACTGACTCAATTTGTCAGGAGATGCCTTTTATTTGATGACCTAGCTCCTTTTTTCACCTACTCAATCCTTCGCCTTCTGATTTGCTCATTTCTCCACTCCTCCTCTCTCTCTCTCTCATGCTAGCCATTCCACTGCGTTTACATGGAGGACCCTGTGTTGAGGCTATTGACCCGCCCTTTCCAGCACTGTGCCGATGTTACTCCGTGTGACCCGTCTGTCCCGCTGTGTCCGCAGAGCGGCCGGTGACGTTCCTCTACAACACGCTGCACTACTACGAGCGGCCCCTCTCCGAGCTGCCCAACATCAAGCGCAAGCTGGTGACGGTGGTGGTCCAGTCGCAGGCGGACGTGCGGCCCAAGGGCTGGTGTCTGACGGAGGAGTTCGAGACGTACCTGAGCAGCGCGCCCGCCGCCGAGGAGCGCGGCGACGCGCCGTGGCGGCCGCAGCTCGACTACTACCGCCGGCTGCTCGACCGGCTGGTGGACACGCTGGCAGAGCGGCCCGCCTTCCCCAGCCTCGAGTGGCGCTTCAACGAGTTCCCCAACGCCAGCGCGCACGCGCTCTACTGCAGCTGTGTGGAGCTGATGGCGCTGCCGGTGGCGCCGGCAGAGGCCGTCTCCAGCCTGCTGGAGGTACTGCTCACTGGGTACGTGACGGTGCCGCGCGCGCAGCTGTCGAGCTGGTTCAACGCGCTGGGCGTGCTGCTGGCCTGGCTGCCGGAGCCGTACTGGCGCGCGCTGACGGAGCGCGTGCTGTCGGCGCTGTCCGCCCTGCCGGCCGACGCCGACCCGTTCGAGGAGCTGCGCCTGGAGGCCCGGCTGGCCGTCCTGCAGTGCACCGAGCCGCTGCTGCTGCTGGCCGCATCGCACGCCTTCTGGAACCACGCCACGCAGGGCCAGATCGCCGCGCTCCTGGCGGGCCTGCGCACCAGACTGCGCGAGACGGTACGCACCGAGACCCAGTTCATATACGTGTGCCACCTGGTGGCGCCGTTCCTGGACCGTCTGAACACGACGTCCGTGTTCGAGCTGACCAAGACGCTGTACGACATGCTGGAGGAGGTGGACCGGGCCAGCGGAGAGCTGCGCTACATGGACGAGATCAGCGATCTGCTCTACCACGTCAAGTACATGCACACGGGCGACTCGACCAAGGCGGAGGCGGAGCGGGTCATCCGCGCGCTGCGACCCGCCCTGCAGCTGCGGCTCCGGTTCATCACACATCTGAACCTGGATGAGATCCCTGGGCTGGACGAGCAGCAGCAACAGCAGCACCATCAACTTCAGCAGCAGCAACAACAGCAGCAGCATCATCAACAGCAGCAGCAACAGCAGCAGGATCAGCAGCAACAGCAGAAACAACAGCAGCAGCAACAACAACCACAGCATCACCAGCAGCACCAGCACCAGCAGCAGCATCAGCAGTCCATGCTGCAGCCGTCGCCAGTCTCCCAGTGACGTCATTATGTGGCTCCAGTTGGCAGTCACGGGCAGCAGCGGGCCTGACCCAGTGGTGGTATAATACCCGCGGACCTGTGCTGCGGATAGAGCCGCGACCACGGGCACGCTGCCTCAAAACAATGCTAGCTCAGCTGCAGCCGTGACTGCCGAGTGTTCAGGGTGGGGCCGCTCCTTTTGTTAATTTGTTCATTCATCCTGTCTTTGCGCCTCAGTCGAAGTGTTTGCGGTGTGTTAACGATGTCGCGTGATGTATGTATTTTTGTACGCGAAAAGGTGTGTGGGTTCGGTGTGTCTGCTGAGCTTGTTCTCGTATTGTGCGTGCACCAGTGAGGTGCGCGGTCGGATCTCGGCGCTGGCCACCCCACCGTCCGTCAGAAGTTTCCGGAATGTAGAAACAAGGGGTGTGACACACTTACGAAGGCTATCGTGTGTGAGTTTTAGACCTGAATTGATGTAAATGCTATCCGCCAATTTATTTCACTGATGGTTTTGTATTAATAGCTATGTCGGATACGGTTACGGCCCGTGACATGAGATGCGTTGTCTATTAGCTATTAACAGAATATTTCAAGTGAAACATTCTGTTGTTAACTAATGACCCACCGGAGGAGAATAGTCATGCATATGTTGATTGTGTCATCCTTGTTTCTTGAAAACTGCCCGGAAAGTCGTGACGACGGTCAAGTCTCGATACATCTGATTTGCCATATCTTGTTCTGTTGGTACGCATGGTCTGGGAATGACAGTACTGTGCTATGTTGTGGCCACTGTCCCGTTCCGGCGAGCTATCACTGAGTCGAACAGCCAGTTCCGAAGTGATGCCCATCCAGCATCTTCACCGAGCCGGTGAACGGTGCAAATACAATGTTGTTAATAGAGCGCTCCTCTTTTGTGAGATCTTCTGTTGACGTCGGTTTCGTTCACAGTGAAAAATGTGAACGAATCTAGTCTTACTATAAGCGATGCAGCTTATACGTGATGTACAATAGTGGGTTGCCGAGTACAGTCGTACAGCCGTCATGCATAAAGCACCACTTCAACACGAACATTGGCGGAGTTTTACCAGCGGAAGCAAGATGGGAAGAACGGGGCGAGTCTTCCCCATTGTACCAACATGAGAGATATAGTCAGAGAGCAGCCCGACTCTGTTGTTGAGACTTTATTGCATACTGTTGCGCGCACACTGTAATGAGACGCGGTCATGAGTGAGTTCACTGCCACGTCTATTCAAACGCCACTTCGCTTCGCTGCCCTTGTTTTGACGCATTTATCCAGCACGAGTATGCGTCCGTCGCCCAGCGGTAGGTAGAAGTCCTTGAGGACGCACTCATACAATGTTGGAAATAAGACCCTTCGCTGGTCCCAGTCGGGTCCCAAAGATTGTGTTCTCCTTTACAAATGTATAGGTACTCTGGCACTTAATATCTTCCAAATTTTCCAGCATGTGTGATGAAAAAACTGACATTATTACACCTAAAATATATAGCAATAGCATTGAGAGTAACACATTTTATCAGCTATCACGGTTAGTAGGCCAAAAATATGATTTTCCTGTTGGTTGCTCTAAAAACTGACTGGTTCTCCGGGCAGATTTTATTCTCCGGGACCAGGACCGAAAACGACTATTCCAACCAAGGCCCTAAAATTCCAACATTGCACTCATATCGACCCCGCGGCTCGCTTAGCGCTGGACTCCAGCTGCCAGTCCGAGTCCCGCTCCCGACCCATCCCAATCAAGTCCCGCTGGCACCAAACAACTGATGCAAATGTTCCCGCTTCTTGGACAAAAAAAAATCCTTGTATTTAAGACAACCAAAGCTTGCATACATTTACCGAGCATCCATACGCACAAGACATTGATGTTACAAACAAAAGCATTCGCATCTGAGATGCAAAAGTTAACCTCAAGCGTATCGCCGCTACCTGGAAGCCCGCTTTCCTTGTCCCTTGGGCGGTGGTCCCTTGCCACGCAACCGACGCAGTCGCTTCATCTCGTCACTGAAGTCCCAATGTTCGTCACGGTACAGGCCCAGTTCTCGCAGATGGAGCATTAGATAGTAGGTCTCGCGAAAGCGAGGATAATAGTCCACAAGTTGAGGATCTTTGTACCGTGGCTGTTCAGATAGCAGCTGCATAACTTTGATTGACCTTTGGGAGTTAGCTGTAGGCACCATCTCACCAAAGATGCGGCTGCTCAGTCGATTCATCCTTCGAGCATATTCAGTGGCATTTTTTGCCAGCTTGGCATAACTGTAGAAGCCAGATGTCATTGCCAACCTGCAGGCAAGAAATCATGTCATGCACAGGAATAAAAAAGCTATATTTTACAGAGTTTGTCATCTTTTGCCCCCAAAATTCTACAAAGGGTTTAATGTAGGGCTTGAAGCTTAAGTTTTAATTGTTTAAACATTTGGAATTCAACAAGGCTTCAGACTTCAGTCACTAAAATAAATTAAAAAAGTTCCTTGAACTAAATTTGGTTTATTAGCTTTGGACCTACAAAACCTTATCAAATGCTTCAAGAAGCACATTAACTTATGCTTGCAAATCAACAGCACTTAAAGGGACCCTCCCACCTTCAAAAAAATTAATGAATTGGCATGAAAGTGATGTCCCTCGGTTAAGAAAGAGCAAAAACGAATGTCTACCAAGTTTCACCGAAAAATATTCACTGGTTTTCAAGATATTGGATTTTTACTTTTGTTTTACTTTTTGGGATATCTGCTGTTCCTAGCGACTCATTTGGAAGCAACAATTTGGCAGTTGAAAGTGTGGCACTTGTTGCTCGCAAAGCAGCATATACCACCGCATGCTACCAAACGTTTTAGTAAAAGATTTAAAATCGTTAGATCTGCGCTGATGTCACACATTCAGAGGGGGCATTTTAATGCATTAGCCCCTCTGAATCAAAGTGCTGCAACTCTGACATTATATATTTTCTATTTGAGGCATTTCTTGATGTTGTGAGTGCTCTAACTGGTAAGTGTAACAGTAAGCCAGGGACCACATTTTAACTATCTCAACTCAAAACTAATGCAAAGGTGGGATGGTCACTTTAACAAAGTTTTAGATCCATGGTTTAAGCTTTTAGCTGAATCAGAATTATTTTACATTACAATTAGTAGGTATATACAGTGTAACAAAGAAGCAGGGAACTTACTTAGTCAACTTACCCGAGCTGGGGACACTCCCTACGAGAGCCCTCCCTACTTACTCTTTATTGCAATTTCTGATTGGTGATCTGAATCCAAAACTTGCCCCGTTCACAGTACAAGTGGGTTAAACTTAAAAATAAAAAAATGTTAATTTATCATTCTTGCGTTTGCTGGGAGAGCAGGAGCAGCGAGTGGAGCGCCGAAAACAAAGTTCTCGTACGTATCACACACTCCATTGATGGCGCAGAATGATGCTTCCATATTTTAGGTGCCTGAAGGTTTTTCTTGACAGGTTCCTCAGAATATCCAAGAATATCTGTAAGTCTTGCCTTAGAACTTGATTCTTGTTAAATTTTGCACAAATAGTCAATCTTCAGTGCCCTGTGATCGCCTTTTTTCAAACCATGCAGTGCTGTAATCAATATGCGTGCATGCTCACGCATTTTCCGAAATTGACATTATGCTGCATATGCTCATGCTGCATTACGCAGCTTCAGTCGCTTCAGTGAACGGCTGTTTCACAAACGTATTTCACCACACCTTGACTTTGACAAATGTGAAGCTTGTGGGCATTTATATTCGTTTTGGTGGCGACGAAAAATTTGATTTCATAATAGTTAGGTCTATTCTAGGCGCAATTTCTTCGATAAATCGATCATATTCCAGCCATCACTGCAACGCCTTTGCAGCTTATATCGTGTCGATCGACTTTCACTGGCATGATATCGTCCACCTCTTGTCTAAGAATCAGAAAAGACTGCCTTCCGTTTTTCGAAACGGTTACAGTGGTTGGAGTAAGTAAATGCCAATTTCTTGTTTGTTTTGCAATGGTGGCACCACGAAACCATTCAGTCATTTTATCTAAGTGTTGAGAAAGTTAAGTCAGTAAGCTTTTAGCTTTGACTCCTGAATTTTAGGTGGATGATTGATCAACAAAGCCCTTCAAATTGTCACACTTTTCAAGTTCTCGAAGAAATTTTGAATGTTTGTTGATGTATGATATATCCAATTATGCTGTTTTACTGACTTAAGAAGTGCTGAAATGGTGTCTTATGAGCTTGAGCAGACTACCCAGCCAAGTGGTTTTTATCTTAGAAGTCTGAAACTTTCTAGTTTCTGATTCCAGAGTTGGAGACTGAAACTTATCAATCACCTCAGATTTGTCAGTAGTAGGCATTGGAATAGTGAATCCCTAGCTTTCGCAAGTGTTTGGTGCTCAGCATATGCTGATGTCCTGTTCATATTGCCTTATACTCATCTGCGAAATGGTATAGGAGCAGGAGAAAAGGAGTTACACATATTTTTCACCTTTTCTTTGTATGCTAGTTGCCATTTTATCAGTTATCTTCACCAGTGCTTCTCTTTTCAGCTCACAAAAGTCATTTGTAGCATATCAAACATAATGCTAGTCTTCATGTTGACCAGGATTATAGAGAAAAACATTTTTTAATGAGTATATGCTTTAGTAATTAGTTGGTGAATTTTAAGCTATTGAAGTTTTGACACCATTTCAGTATACTTATATCTGATGTCAGATGTATTTATGTATCTATGGATAAAATGTATTTTAACAGTTGATTGGTTTGGCTACAACTTAAGCATTATACAAGTGAGTCACTGTTTCAATCAACAGCAATCTCCAATAAAGTTATCAGTTATTGCCATTGGTCATGCATTCATCATCCCTATCACCATAATTCAGAAGTTTCTGCATTGTTTAGCTAGAGCTGGAAATGTTTAACTGCTGCTGTGGAATAATGTGCGGTAAATGTCAAGTTTAAGTTTGCTGATGACACGAAGTTGTACCGCAGCATTGATTCTCCCAGTGATGCATCCCTGCTCCAGCTCGACATTGATGCTCTCACCACCTGGTCCAAGAAGTGGCAGCTTGCGTTCAACCAGAGCAAGTGTGCGTCCTTGAACGTCGGGGCCAAGAACTCTGGTCACTCCTACTCTATGAACGGTGTCTGCCTCGCCTCCACCTCAGCTGAGAGAGATCTGGGTGTCATCATCGATCCCGAGCTGAAGTTCAGGAGGCAGGCTTCCTCGGCTGTATCAAAGGCTTCACAGATTCTGTCTCTGATCCGGAGGTCATTCTCGAATCTGGACGAGATCACCCTGCCGATTTTGTTCAAGGCATTTGTCAGGCCCCACCTTGAATACGGCAACCTCATATGGGGCCCGTTCAATCGTGCAGACATCAAGCTTGTGGAGCGAGTCCAGCGGCGCGCTACTCGATTAGTGTCCGGCATCAGGAGCAAACCATATACTGAGAGACTGAAATGCCTGAAGCTTCCTTCACTGCTCCACCGAAGACGCCGTGGTGACATGATTGGAATGTACCAGCTGCTGCATAACGAGATCGATATCGACTCGGACAAGTTTGTCAAGCCTGCGTCCACGAGGTCCAACCGTGGCCATCCCTGGAAGCTGTACAAACCACATGCCAAGTCACGAGCCAGAAGACAACTATTCACTATTCGAGCGCTCAACGACTGGAACTCCCTCCCTGCAACAGTTGTCCAGGCCCCATCCCTCAATGCCTTCAAATCCAGACTTGACAAGCATTGGGCCAATCTGATGTACCTGACTCCTACTCACGACTAGAGATGACCACCAGTCACGAGCTCGACGAGAGCGGGACCTACAGGCGAGTTGCCTTTCAAAATTCCCGATAGTGTAAGGTAAGGTAAGGTAAGGTAAGTCCTAAGAAGATTTCATTGATTAATTTCACATATTTATACATTATTTGACATCCTGAATCCAAAAATGATACTCATATGTCTCGCAAATAAAAGAAAAAAACATAATCAAACCTGACCTAACCTTACCTACTTACCTATAACCTACCAACCTACAACCTACAAACCTACCCTAACCTAACCTAACCTACAAACCTACCTACCTACAACCTAAAACCTACAAACCTACAACCTAACCTAACCTAAAACCTAAAATTTTTGCTGTTTCATATTCGTATCAACAGCGTCACAATTGTAGTTAGGACCTAAACTTGACATATACCTAATGTGCCCTGGGATCCAAAAGCCATTATTATTCAGGTACAGATATTCACTTGGTACCTACCCCCAGTGCAGTTAAGTTGATAAGGTAACCTGATCTGAAGGCAATAAGGCATTAATATATAACTCAGTCTGAGAAAATAAACTTAATGATCACTAAAATATATATTATCTTCCCCTTTTGCTCTAGGAGGGAATTAATCATCTACTTCTAGGCTGCCTACATAGTTCATACAATTTGCATTTAAAATTGCAGATGCATTCCTTAAGTTAATTAGTAATATAAACCTCTGTACAGTGTACAGAGGTCTATGTATCAGCACTTGCATTATGAATCATTAATCTAATAAGCCAAACTAATGCTGATAATCTGTCATGTGATGTAGTCTTTTGCAGTATGCAAATCCATGGAACTTTATTGTCAGGACTCAGGTGTCAGGTTTCCATTCTTGCATTGTAAGTGGAGCCTGTCTGACTAAAAATGTATTCTCATTGTAGAGTGATTCCATAGAAAAACCATATAGCTGCATTGGTACATCCCAACAGGTTATTTGGGACACTTGTATGCTGAATGGTAAACAAATTTCATTAAAAATTGAACTATCTTCCTTATGCATTACCCTGTAGTTGAAGTGAACTTCTTTAGAATGAACGTTTTTTTTTTCTGTGCAAAATGACATTTTATTAATTTTGGAGGCTGCATGGAACACTTATTTCCTAATCGCCTTTCCTTTGATGTTTTTGCTTAGTTACATTGCCTCTACCTGCGTCAAAAGTTTCTTTGGACATGTCATTCTAGCCAGCATTTCATTGTTGTTGTAATGGCACTGTTGGCAGGTGTGTGAGTGATCCGCGCTGGACCTGATCTGGTGGGCGGTACACGTCCTAAGGTGCCGCAACATGCCGAGAACCCGTCGCCGCGACTCGCCCGAGCGGCTCTATGAATCTCGCAGCCGGTCACGGTCCCGCTCGCGTCACCGGCACCGTCAGCCGGAGTCGTACCGTCACCGCGCCGAGCGGAGCCGCAGCCGGCGGCCGAGCCCGCCGCGCCGGCACCGGCTGCGCTCCTCGCGCCGGCAGCGCCGCTCGTCGTCGTCGCTGCGCCGCCGGCCGCACCGGCGCCGCGAGCCGACCCGCTCGCCGTCCGTGGTGGACGACTCGGACGGCCACCTGGTGTACCGGGTCGGCGACCTGCTGCAGGGTCGCTACCGCATCCTCAGCACGCTCGGCGAGGGCACCTTCGGAAAGGTGGTGCAGGTACGCGACTCGCAGAGGGACCGCGTCAGCGCGCTCAAGATTATCAAGAACATTGACAAGTACCGTGAAGCTGCCAAACTGGAGATCAATGTTCTGGAGAGGCTCGCCTATAAGGGCTCGGCGGGCCGCCACCTCTGCGTCCAGATGTTGGACTGGTTCGACTACCACGGCCACATGTGCATCTCGTTTGAGATGCTCGGTCTCAGCGTGTTTGAATTTCTCAAGGATAACAACTACCAGCCCTATCCGATGCCGCATGTGCGACACATGGGCTACCAGCTGATTCAAGCGGTTCGCTTTCTGCACGAGAACAAGCTGACACATACTGACCTTAAGCCAGAGAATATCCTGTTCGTCAACTCTGACTATGACATAGAGTACGACTCGCGACGGAAACGCGACGTGCGCCGGGTAAAGAACCCCGATATCAAGCTGATCGACTTTGGCAGTGCCACGTTCGACCACGAGCACCACTCGACGGTGGTGTCGACGCGCCACTACCGCGCCCCCGAGGTGATCCTGGAGCTGGGCTGGGCGCAGCCGTGCGACGTCTGGAGCATTGGCTGTATCTTGATCGAGCTGTACCTGGGCTATGCCCTGTTCCAGACGCACGACAACCGCGAGCATCTGGCCATGATGGAGCGCATCCTGGGCCCGCTGCCAGCTCGCATGGTTGAGCGCACCAAGACAAAGTACTTCTACCGCGGGAAGCTGGTCTGGAGCGAGAAGTCCTCCTCTGCCCGCTATGTGCGCGACAACTGCCGACCGCTGCGCCGTTTCGCGCGCTCCGACGAGGCCGAACACCGCGAGCTGCTGGACGTGGTGGAGGCCTCGCTGGAGTACGACCCGGCGCGGCGGCCCACGCTCGCCCAGCTCATCCAGATGCCGTTCTTTAGCTCTGTCGACCCGCCCACGGCGCCGGTGGCGGAGAAGGAGCGCACGTATAGTCTGTCCCGGTAACGGCGGCTCGGCGGCGGCGCGGCGCACACAGAACCGGCCCGGCTGGCTGGCGGTGTTACGGCGTTGACATTGGTGTCCGGTCGGCTCCGGACCAGCAGTGTAGACTCGCGATCCTCGACCGGTGTTCGAGCTTGACATGATATCGCTGGTGTGGAGCACTAGGTGTGAATGGTGTTCCCTGTTTGGAATCAAGTGCTGCTAACGTCTGTCTCGCGCCATGCTCGACGCTAGAACCTTTGTGCGTATTACGGGGAATGAATGAACTGTAGTTTAGACGTAAA